TTGGCACAATTCTATGGCAGGTTATGCATCTGGCAGGAATTCAAGATTAGGCTTTCCAAATGCAGGATTAAATACTATCAGGAGTCACTGCGGCGTTGGTGTACTGGGAAGAGGAACTATATCTTTTAGCAGAAATCAAAGGAATGACTGCAGTTTTGTAGGCTAAGACCGAAGATATAGCTGATGACTGACGCATTAACGTAAATCAAATACGCTTAGAGTAATTTGCACGTTTAGACATCTGCAATATGCAGGCCATAATTCATCGTCACACGTTGGCCTACGAATGTATATACCAACATTGCTTCTGTTCACTTTGAACGATGACTCGGGGGATTTCTGCCATCACTATTAGTAGCGTCCCTGTTATACCCGTTAAATGAAAGGTTTTGGGTTGGTTTTTCCGTCGCTTGCTCATTAAATTTTACAAATCGTTGGTTTTGTAATCGTGTTTTCTTCACACCCTCAGATTGACCATAAAAGTTGATGACTAAGCGGAAAATTACCCAATCCTTAATCTTTCCGAATTGTAATAAATTGAGAAGGTGCTGTACTTCCATTTCATCGCTAAACTGTTTGTAATATTCAAAAAGTCACTTACCTCTAGCAAATGCAGAAACAATGCCATTGCCAGTTGCTTGTGCATCTCTATGCAAATAATTGATGAGTGCTCTGAATGGGTCACCGTTGATGCGACAATTTATCAGCAAAATCGCTATTTGATGCGAACGCTAAAACTGACTTCACTCAAGAATGGTAGTGAAGAGATGGTGCCTAAAGGGGCACTTTGAGACTGGGCAAATCAACTCGAATTTTGCCTTTACTTTGGTAAACCCATAATCAACATGGAGCCCGTGCGATGTTAAAGGTAGTCATGAAATACTCAAAGGTTGGCCATCCCGTGGCCCTTGTCGCGCCTGACAAACATGCTAGAACCCGTAGAATATTTACCGATAAAAAGCACTTGAACCGGTTGGGCACCTAAGCTAGTTAACATAATCTCTACCTGGTAGTAAACTTCAGGAGAAAAAATGGAGGGAGGGGTTTTGGCAGAGCTGCACATGTCAACAATAAAAGTGGGTTCGCAAAGATTATCTAAATTCCACCTGTTTTCCTTCGACGCCTATGTAATGACAGAGTTAATTTAAGCCTGTAAGCATAATCAGCACGCACCATGAAGCCTCAGAAACCAGAGCTCATTTCTACAGTGTGTGATCAGCCATTGGTCAGATAGTTACTTCAACCGCTACTCGTGGGTGCGACCGCATCGGGTCGATAGGCCACATCTGATCGATTCGATGACTTGAGCGTCGTTCACAGTCAACTCAGTTGTGGGCGCTCCTGCTACATCTCGGTCGACATGCTTGAGTAATAGCGAAATTACAACTTGTTTCTTTCCTCTCCACTCCCTTCCCTACATCATTGCACTCCAGTTCATTCAAAACACTTCAATAAGCAAACAGGCCTAATGTGAGGAATCAATGTTCGTGACGTGCTTCTTACAGACAACTCCGTCTGACATACACCTCCCTTTGTGATATTAATAATAAAAATGGTGTTCGTGTCATAAGACAGAGCCAGGCTTCCTCAAACAAGGTCCTGCAGACACTTTTAGAACAACTCTCGATTCATAGAAAATTTGTTTGACAAGGCCCACGAGGAACGGA